GAAAATTTCGAGTGTAGGGGGATGAGGTGAGCTTACTTGCGGGGTATAGAGGGAGCAAGAGCTTAGAAGGCGCAAAGGGTGGATCTTGAGCTCTGCATGACTGTTTGGTGATATGTGAGGATTTAGATAGGTAGCTCGTCATCAACATTTACTCTTAACCGCAAAATAGTGAATGGCATCCAGAAGAATCTACGCAGTAATATGTAAACCAGACAAATTCTGCGGGGGTTGACGATCGTCACATTTATGCCCCCAGCTACAGATTTGCCAGCGCAGAGGAACTTCGCGCCCGCTAGAAGTATACTCCGATTTTACGGTTACGAATATGGGGATTTTCGTGGTAGGACTTGAAATAGGTAGTTATGGCGTATTGTTTTCCGCATGTTGATGTGGATTTTTGATACACGAAATCGGGATAGAGAAACGATGGGATTATTGTCGTTTTTGCACTTTTACTTTCGCTCTTGGAGGATTGCGTTGTAATTTTTTTATGTTGTCAATTATGTGAGTCTGTTGTGTTTTTGATTGTTTGTTAGATCACTTGCACTGAAGTTTTTCTTCTCATGTTACCGAGGTTTCGTGTAGATGCTTGCTTGCTCTGCTTTTCATTCACAAAGCGAAAGTCACAAGAGACCTGTAATGAGCTCCTGATCATAATCTGGCTATGATATTGTTATGAATTGGGGTGTTGAGTAGTTTATATATCATTGTTGGGGGAATAGTGAAGAGGGGAGAAGGAATCCGGGCTTACATTGTGAGGAGGGTGCTGGGATGTTGAATTGGGGGTGAATTGATGTCAGAAGATGAGGAATGATTTGAAGTGAATGGACGACTTAGCACAGGCATACGAGGCGATAATTCATCTTAATCACAGTTGTGAAAGAGGTGAGTATCTCGGTAGTGGTGATGCGAGGTTCGAGAGAGTTGATGGAGGGTATGTAAGGATCACTATTTAGCTGTCTAGACTTTTGCATGGTCAACACCAAACAGTATATGAGCCGTTCATGTTTTGGCAGTATGTAGTATTTTTATTACTATACTACGTTGAGATTCACTTATTAAATACGGGCACTTGTCTATGTAAAGAGGTAGTCGTCGTTCTCAGTCTGGACAAAAGCTGAGAGGCAAATATTCGATTATAACTGTCGTTTCTACTCAATGGCAAGACAATCATTTCTCTGCTGTCATGAAACCACATAGTCACGAAACTACACACGACTTTTCAACACAAAAGATTTAGAAATCCCACCATCGGAACACTCATCTCGTCCATAACTTCACGAAGTGACTCTTGTCTTTTCATGAACACTCTGTGTTTCAGAATCTTGAATTCACAACCTTAAAACCAAAGGGGCGGCTCTTTAAGCATAACTTCAACTCATCAGGTCTGTATGGATAGAAGCGGATGATGAGATTAAGCGAGAAATGAAAGCAAAGCGGAGAATACGCATATGATATCTAAGTATGATTTTAGGAGCGCATTCAATACTTTCTTGCGGATAGATAATTGCGATAGTAGATAACCACAACATCAGAAAATGGGCTGGGAAGGGGTACGGTGTAGATGATACGTATATGTGCGATGGAATTTGATGGGTTTGGGGGCAAGATGAGGCTTGATGTTTGTAAATTATACTTTTCTTCTTGTGTTGTGGGAGGAACGGATACTGTGTTATTGGCGTTGTCGTTTTTGACTTGAATTGTTGATATAAAAATTATTGTTATATGATATTCATTGCCGTTGTCGATGTGACTACCGATCAGATTTCCCAAAAAGAGAACGTGAATGGTGAAAATCAATTTTAAAGGCCGATCTACCTAGGCATGTAAGACAAAAATTGACTATGAGAATCTTGAAACGGGGAGCTTGTGACTGGACGATTGTTCCTACCATCTCCTTGTGCTGAAGCCGATTGATTCTTGTAGACAACTTACTCATTGTTGATGTGTGAAGTCTTTTTATTATTGAGATTCGAGTCTGCTATAGAGGGTCCCGGCTTGAGTTCTCTGTCTGCGGAGAAAGGAGAAAAGACGAACTCTCAAAGTCAGCGTCCATATCGATCCTGAAGTGATTGAGTCAACGACGGTAAGTCCTAACCATAATTTGCCTTGCTTTTATGTACCTTTTTATATACATCTTAACGCTCTTAGGAATATAAACCAAGTCAGTTAACAGACAGGATGATTGCCACAATATAGATCTTGCCCAGCTCAGATCTGATACACTTTTTGGTGTGGCTTAAATTCGGGCACTTGATGAAACAATTTCGGCAGATGAAAAAAAAGCTGAAATTGGCGATCTCATTTGAAGTGATTTTTCTACGTCGCGCGCTATTTTACGACGATGTGAAGGAGCTCTGGTATTTTCCCTTGGCTTAGCCCAATATCGTTGGATAGATCGGACTGATTACGCGGAATCAAAGATCTAGATCTAGTAGATCAGAACCGTTATAACCTTTTCAAGTAATTGATAATTTCATTATCATCCATACATTTGTAATGTTCTTCAAAACCATAGCTCATTATGGCCAAAAGTTCCAGCATAAACTTTGCAATTCAAAGTAAGATATGATTCCGTGATATCTAGACTGGCCTATAACGATGCATGAGCTACATTATATTCGAAGCAGCATGCGTCATCATGTAGTTGAATGAAGGGAACATGATATCAATCTATCAGCGATCGATGCCGGCGCCATCAAAGAATACTAGCGATAGTCGTACGAAAGGGACAACGAGAAATGGCCTATTTGTTTCATAGCCGTGTCATGCTCGGTGCGTCATCCATAATTCACATTGAAACTACAACATTAAATCTTTCTTATGTTTGGCACCAAATGTTTCCATGAAAAGCAAAATATCAAAGAATAAAGAATTCTAACACATTGATTTTTAAGATGAGACACGTTTGAATGGAATTATTGAGTTGCAGTCGATTTTCTATGTGTGATCTATCTCTTCGTCATCGATAAGCGCGGCTGACCATATACATAGGTTGATCCCAACGTGCGTTCACTGAGTTCTGGAGTGGCTTGCAATATTCACACCTCAAAGAGACCCAATGAAACATGAAACGTCAAGAATATATGTGAAAATGTGCAGAGTGTAGGCTTACTTGACTCGAACCTTTTTCTTTTCGACATTCTCCAATATCACCACGAAGGTTGAGCTACTATATCTATCTTATGCAACAGGATTTCAAAAGTTTCTTGGGATTGATTCGTCGCTCCCAATTAATTGACGGGAAGACTGTTCTTGCCATGAACCGTATTTGCTACGAAGTGACACAGTGACGAGAATGAGCCTTCACCGTCAACCTATCAGCTTTACATTCATTTAGCTGTGCTCGATTGCAGTGCTGCAAGCAAACATATGGGAGTATGCAGACCCAACGCAATTGCACGGGGGCGTAGAATATGCCCCTTCTCATAAGCTATCTGCTTGACTAGCGGGACATTGAAAGTGGTGGCTGAACTGATTCTGAACATCCACTTCGAATTTCTGTGGAGGAACGAAAGTACATTGCAAACTCCGGCCCCATAACGTCATTCGGATGCTTCTTGTAAAGCATTGTTAAGAAAAATCTGTGACAATTTTTGGTAGGTCTAACTAAAAGCGCCGACTATAACACAGCGTTGTATAGTCTGCCAGAGTTGAGTTTGTATGTCTTAATCCACATTGAAGCTGGATCTCATCTTTACTGCTTCATCATGGATTTCGGGAAGGGCTTCCGCCCGCTCCAGCCATTTCAAAGCCTCCTCAGTTTGACCCTGAGATTTACACATTGAAGCCATGTTCAACATACTCAAACCAAAGCCACTTTCAGCTGCGACTTGAAACCACTCTTTGGCATAACAATAACCTCGCTCTGACGGGTTTTTGTCCGCTTGGTCACCGTTCTTAGATAATTCAATAGCACCAAGGTTATGGCATGCTTCAGGCATACCTGCACCAGCCGCTTTGAGTAGATAAACCATCCTATTATCCTCTTCCTCAGGACCTACATGTTTTGAAAGATAGAAGAATGCTGCTGGATGATCTAAATCTAATGCTGCTTTGCTGAACAATTTCTTTGCAGCTGCTCTATCAGTCTTTTCTAAAATCAAGCCAAGCACGACGAGTGCCTCTGCAGCCCCTGGAAAGTTTGGCGACTTTTCTCCAGCTACAGCTTTTTGCAACCAATCTCGAGCTTCCTTTTCCCTTCCTCGACTGTATAGAATTTGACCAAGGAGTCCCATTGCTTGAACATTGCCATCTTTCTTGGCTAAAATACCCAACCGTTCAAGAAAGGGGGTAAGCCTTGTTGTATAGAGCTTATTATTATAAAAAGCTTCCGACACAACCTCTAATGTAGCCGCTGGATCTCCTATAGCTGAAGCTGAATCTAACAACACTCTTGCTAGACGTTTTTGTGCTTGTTCCCGGCATCTCCCCATGGAAATAGATAACTGAGTCACATCAGATGCCGTGATACCATGCTCTATAAAACATTAGTAAGCCAGGTCAGCTGTGGAGAAGATGAAAGACCTTACTATTGCAAATCCCAATCTCCCAACCTTGGTTCGGATTTCCATGTAAGCTCTGGTAGTTCTTTAGGAATTCCATGGCTTTATTGGGGTCGACCCTCAAAACTCCAGCTTTATGGTCTGTTTCAAGAACGAACATTGGTGGAAGAGCATCGGGAGTATTGATTGGCACCCTCTTCCGTACAATCACTGGTTCAGTAGCATGTCTCTTTGCCAATATCTGCTTTCTCGAAGGTTTGATATTGATAGCGAATAACCTTGGAGTGGTATGAAGCGACCTTTGATTCAGTAGTCTAAGACCATTTTTGAAAGGAAGCAATATTCGAGGATTCGACATCTTAACATTCGTGTATGAAATATCAAATATCGATCAATGAAAAGCCTGATATTAATATAAATCACAAGCTTGATAAAGCAAAGAATAAACAGTCGTCTGCTATTCTCGATTATCGGAAAGGCGGTGAATCCGATAAAATGTTCAATGTCATAGCGCTTGCCGGCACTAAAGAAATCTCAAAGATTTTTTTACAGGTTTGTCCTTCATCCAAGGCCCACTCACACCTTTATTAACCATTATTTAAAGTTCAACCCAATACAGGTTTTCTGTATGTTCGCCAGAATCTTTAAAACGTCTTCGAAAGAGGATCTTCAGGCGGACGATCCATTGACTCCTAGTCAGCAATTGCGCGACGAAAGTAGAAGAACTAGAAGTATGGTTACTACGCGGGGTAGAGCTCGAGAATTGGCAGATAGTCCCTCAGTGAATGGAGATGGAGATTCTATAATCATCGATGAGGGTACTCCAGTTCCAAAAAGGAGAGGGCGACCGCGCAAATCGCTTCCTCTTGAGGATGATGAGGTTGCTGCCACTCCGCGACCTACGAGAAACTCGAAAAAGTTGTCGGCACAGGCAAGCGAAGAAGAAGCTACATCTATACAATCACCGCAAGTAATGGAAGAAATACCCAATTCTGCAGAAGAATCGGAGGATGCGCAGGTTATTGAAGCAGATGAGGAGGTAATCAAGACATCGAAAGCCAATGGAGATGTTTCTACTCTTTCGAAAATCACTACCACTGTCACAACGCCAGTTGCGAAGAAGCATAAGCGATTCGATAGCGCAGAGCCTGAGCCTGAGCCTGAGCCAGTAACAGAAGAAAAATCCGAAAGAATTGAAGCTGAGCAGGAGGAGGAAGAAGAGAGTAGCGATGATGATGCCCCGCAGGAAGTAACTACAAATGAGGCTGCGAAATCCGTCAAGGAAAAGGAAAGAGAAGCAATAAAAGCAATTGAGGAGTATGTTCAATGTTATTTCTGCCTACACGACTTGCTAACGAGGATTCCAGACAAGAAGCTGCCTCCAAGAAGAAGCGCCAGGAGAAAGCCGCAAATCTTAAACGTCAAGCAGAGATCTCTAGCAAGAAGCGCAAGTTGGATGTTGCATCCGGACAAGACGAAATGTTACCTCCCGCTCAGAAATCGAAGGTCGAGATCGCATCAACCACAGAGAAGGCAGACATCGATATGGACGAGGAATCGAATACTCTAGAAGGAGAAGGAACGGCAGATGGACGACTGGACTCCGAGGACGACATTGAAGAAATAAACAGAACTTTCGCAATACCCGGGCAAGTTCCACTTCCAGACCTTCTGCCGGCTGAATTTTTAGAAGATGATGACGGTGATAGCCCAGAGCCTGGACGTCTTCACTCGAGCCTACCCACAAGATCTGTCAAGCCAGACAAGTTACGACGCCTTCTGGAGAAAAAGCCAAAAGATAAACGGGTTGGTTCAACTACATTCAGAGTTGCGGAAAATCGAAATCCACTTTTACCTCCTAAAGCATCAAATCAAGCACGCTTGCTAAAGGAATCGTGGTTACAAGGTCGGGCAGGAACTAAGATCAAGCCAAACCGCAAGCCCTTCAGCCAAGGTTTTATCAAGACCAAGAAATAGAGTGGAAACTGTGCTGGCGATTGCGACGGTAAGAATGAGGGAATTGGCTTTTTGTGCGGCGTCATTCATCAGGGGGCGAGAACAATACGGAGAAGAGACTGATCAGGGGAACATGCAGCGGAGGAGAAACTACCAAAAATAACGGTCATTTCGAAGAAATCAGGGTCTGGAAATACAACATTGGTGTTTGGCTAGGGCTGGCGCATCTGAATAAAGGATTATTGAGTGATTCCCAACTTTGTTGAATGAAAATCCAGTAGCATAGAAGTCCCGGGAAATATTTAAATTTGATTACATGCTCTTCCACAACCTACTGAATTTCACGATGCTTCCTACTTCTGAATTCAAATATCTTCCAAATTGTGAATCTAGACCCCGCAATGCTCCATGATACTTTGAGTAATTGCTTAAGCCTCTTATTTTTCATGTTAGTGCCAATTTAATGAATGTCTTTATTACAGAATCTATGTAGTGATTTAGTATTGTGTAGAGACTGGCAGCTAATGAAAGAATAGTAAGTGGTGTAAGGAGGTGGAAGGTGGGGAAGGAGAATATCATCTTACTCCCACTGAAGCTGTATGAGCTGGCGAGTTTTCGTGCATGGCGTTTGCATCATCAATGAAACGTTCCCATTTCTACTCAGGCTTCGTTGCTGGGGCTTCATGTATAGATAGAGTTTCTTAGACGTGACTGATCGGACGAGTGGTCGGTTCCGAGGGAGGATGAAGTGATGAAAATGGTGTGGAGGTAATGGATTAAAGGTATTCAGATGGAAGAGGGCCGGGAGAGGGTGGAAAGAGGGAGGAGTAAACCGTGACTCTTTGTTGAGTTCGGGCGGTTTTCCTTTGAGACCGGTTCATCTAGACAAACGTACAAGACGAAATTATATATTTTGGCACATGTGACAGTAATCAACGAAGTACATTCATTTTTTCACTCTCAATAAACTCTCCTAGCTTTTTCATCTTAGAAGTAGACATCCATCACCCTCACTATTGATATTGAAGGTACTGCGGTCAGATTATACAGTATGAAGTACCTCGTTTTTTGATTGTAGGAGAACGACTATTTCCCATTGTCACGAATAAGATCAATCGGCAGCCTACTCACTCCCGCTCGGACACCGCACGCTTCCGCGAGTGGGCCGAACACATTAATGTAGCTATCGAGTCCGAAGAGCTTCGATGTAACTATAACTTCAATTCATAATCAAGCTCCCTTGCATATGTTACAACAACAGAAATTCATCCTTCTGGTAGACGTACGTCCGCTCTTTTTGGGTTCAAAAAAATTATTCGGCGCACTGTCTCGTGCGAGCGATTTCGTCACTGATCGGGTTTTAGATCATACAGGGGCTCGCCTATAAACAGCTAAACCCTAACCGCCTTAGCATTTTCATGATATGGAGTCGCTACTATATATGTCATTTGCTAGTATGGAAGAACAAAACATCATGTCAAGTAACATTGAATGAGATTGTTCGGGAACCTGCCTTCTTAAATTTTCATCCCGTATGCACACGTGCTGATGATTCCTTTCATGGCCGGTCATCCGCTGGGTTTATATGGCTTGCTGGGGTGCTTAGGCACAGCAAGTCGGAAAAAAATGAACCGTGGATGACATTCCTTCAACATTTTCTAGAAAATCAAACGCAGTTGAGAGATTACCGTCAGACTGTTCACCAGGGATCAATATTGTATCTATAGTGATAACCTCATGGGGTTATAATGAGGTTATTGTCGTTAAATTCATCCTGACTACTCCAGATGTATTACATTTTCAATCATTGTAATTCACATATTTTCAACCACTTTTATTGTCCTCTAATAGTGCTGTATGAGCATTCAACAATCTTTCAGTATTAAAAACTAGTCCCTGATTGAATGCTGTATCCAACAGGTATTCCCAATGCCTCGAATCATACGAAATCGCACAGATTATCGAGATGGTTCAACAAATGTTGACTAGCAATCTCGTGAACCGCTAACCTCATTTAGATAAAGTGACCTGTGATAAATTTGGTGGTAAAGTTATTACAGATAATTTACCAGGGCTATGTAATATTACCAATGGTGAAGACGTAACGATAATGTGCCTATGTTGGACCAGGTGTGCATACAAATCATGAACACCCATTCGCGAGAATTGGGAAGTCTCCACTGATTAGGTATTCCATATTTGATTGGCTACGAGATTACTAGGTTGATTCATAAAAGAAAAGTGCTATTAGTTCCTACAGGACCCTTCATAAGCACAACCGAATATCAGGTCTTTTTTTCTATGAAATTGTTGACATGGCTTATGATTTGAACGAGGATATCAATAGTTAGAAGCTAGAATAGTTGATTTGTGATGTTGAAGATAATGGTATAACTTCTGAGAATATCTATGGTTTTGAGATGATAGTTGAATCGAATGAGATGTAAATCTGTGTGAAGTTGTGTGAACACGATAAATTTGGTAAAGGAAAAAGTGTTTCTAATCTCACCAGAGTGGAACTCAGTCTGAGCCATCATATTAATAGTTAGTCGAATAGGCGTCAGGATAAAGGGATTGGATGAGACTAGACTATCAGCCATGCGTGTAACTCAAACTTACCAATAGCCAATATTGTTGAGATTCTTTGAATCGCTTGAAAAGTGCCAGCAACCTAAAGAACAACTTTGATATAGTATGATCCAGCGAATTCATGATTATACATCTTAAAACTTGTGCTTGAAATACCAACAACTTCGGTGATGATTGATAGTCAAAAGTAGAATCGATATTTGGAATAACGCTCAAAAAATTGTCTTCGGCATGACGCTCGAGAACCAACTATTGAAAACTACTGTGCATTTTTCCTAGCAACCAGCAACATCATTCTTCAAATACAGACTGAGTCTTGGCTTCGAAGCTTCACGAAACGATATATGCACATACTCTTTGCATCACGACAATGAATATTTCCCTGGCCATTGGAACCATTTGGGAGCTACCGCACCGAAGATGTTGAAGCGCATCATTGTCTGGTAGGAGAGAGTAGAGACGAAGGTGACTGTCAAGTTACACCTTTATCTATTCCCGCACTTCAACTGATAAAGTGGGTGCTTTTTCTCCGTTGTCTTTTCCCAAGTCAATGCTTCAAAGATACCCACTCGTTAACTTCATTAATATCTCTATAAACGTCACTTCACCCTGGTCTCTGGGCTTGACAAACGCCTACCAGAAACTCAGCACCTCACCTTTATTTGCTCAGCCCTAGTTTCAGCTCTATGGGATACGAGCTCAATATAGTACGAAAGGTAAGGGAGCCCATATCAAATAACATAGAGGAAAGGTAATTTAAGCTGAAGAATTCTCACAGCTGGGCCTGTCAGACAGATCCATCTGCGACACTGCATCTAGTCGGACTCTGCCATAATGTCTAGCGATGCTAGCTTCATCAGATAATGAGACTTTGAGGCGCAGATAACAAGGCGACTTGCCATCTTCAACGTTCCATCTCAAACACATTTATTCGATTATGAACCCCCTAAGGAAAGGGCTCACGTCAACTAGACATTGAGATCTTTGTTTTTACAACACTGTTTCAAAACGATGAGGAGAGGAGCCACTCGATTGACCTCGGATTAGCTGCAAACAGTTCAACATGGAGAAGAGTAGTACGAAAGGCAACCAAAGAAGAACCCAACAAGGAATGACACTTCATAATAAGTTTCTAATATCATTAGAAACATATGTACATCTCAGATTTAAAGTCTTACGATGGACTGTATCCGGCAACACGAAAATTACTATCCACCAAGCTAGTGCACACTTCACTTGAGCACACTCCGAGACTCTGACGGAAGATAAATAGACTCGCGAGTCTAATCAATTCATGTTATTGGTTACCGAAGTGCGAAAATTCAGAGTGCTTGCTGAGCCCTCAAACAAATATTCTCGAGAAGAAACGATGTAAACCCGGGGAACTTGAGGAGATATCAATGAAATTTATCCTTACCAGTAGCAAACAATGGTTACATGAGACATGAGCTAAATAGCTCTATCTCACCTTTTCTTACGTTGAAAGCCAAGTTTGAAGAGAATCCAGGCCGTCAATTCTTCGCAATGAGAAAGAACTCGGGATGAGACCTTCGCTAATAGACGACTTTGAAAGTAGACCACGCATCTACCTTTCGCAAGACCGTGCTCGGCTCAAACACGACTAGCATTTTATCCCAAGATGTTAAAGTTCCTTAATTCTGGTCATCCAAATTTTGGATAATATGATGGAATCAATCCTCGACAGAAGGGCACAGAAAGAAGGGATATCAAAGCAGATGATTTGTAATTGAGAACGTCAGAAGTCACTCGTTATATACGCCTTCAAGGGGAAGGGAAATCGGTCAATAGGTAATCCCCTACCGTTTCGGTTACAAAGTAATGTGCCTATTTTGGGCAATCTAAAAACGACATTTGGAATGAATTGGGAATGAGATATCAGTTCCAAGTTCGAAATCGTAGTGCAATGTCGTGGTACCACGCCACGGTTCCCCAAATTGTGATTCGATGGACTAAAGCTAGGTAAGATTATTACATCTTCAGATTTGATTTCTAGAACAGTACTGAAACAAGCTAGAGCAAGGCGATGAAATTGGATTCTGGTAGTAAGTAGTCTTCAATCTACAACCACGATTTATGGAAAGGCTCCAAACTATTTTCTAGTGATATGATTGGATGATGGAGTTCCATCTGCCCATCTAATAAGCCCTATGTGCATTAATTCCTGCATCTTGCCTCAGTAGATTAAAGATTTCTTGCGTTGGTTACACAAGATCCTTGCTTGATCACCTGTTCACGCGCATGATTCGCGTTCTTCCTACTAGGCAGCTACGCCACACGTCTCTGCAGACCCTGTTGTTCACTTAGTGGTAACCTGATGCGAGACTTTCGTCTTCTGAGTATATCAATAGGTTAAGAGCGACATAGAAATTTACACTTGAGATATAGGATTGTGGAAGATAGAGCTCTCTTCGAGGATGCCGACATCTTCGCAAGGGTGATGGATGTCGGAACGCTTCATTTTAAATAGCGTAGCATGTTGATTGTAAGAGTAAATCTTGATGATATCTTTATTGGATGACCGTAAGTGCGAAAGAATGGATGGTATCTATCGTTACATAAGTATTGCTCGAATGGTTGTCAGATGCTAGGATGTTTGGTTACGTCGCAAACATCATCTGGACATCGTACCATCTTAGGATATATTTGATACTCCATCTGGATAAACATTTCGATAATAGTTAGCTGATCAGTAATGGCCAATCAGGCAGGCAAGTGCTTCCGGATTGCTTGACGAAGGTGGCAAGCCAGTAGTCCAGGCCTCGTAAGTAACTGCTCAATGATCTTCAAACGCAGAGGCAATGGCCATTTGTTAAATGTTCATCTACATTCACAGTATTGCCATAAGCACAAGTTTGCATTCTTTTCACAAACAGCTGTTGTTCTTTCTTTACTCAACCCAGAATGTGTTTTCACGAGTGAAGCTATCTTGGAACTTCTTCTTTGATACAAGAGAGAATAAACTCTTGTTCTTTGCAGCAACGCTGGAGTGAATTCCTACTGGCTTCTTCGCGTCATCTTGTGGGCTAAATATTGCTGCTACTATCTCATGATCAGTACCTAAAAGGCCAGTATGACTTCGATCAGTTGACCAACTCAAGATGAAGCAGGGAGCCTGTGCTTACTTCCTTTGTAGTAAATGCGTCTGCCGTCTTTAATAGAGAAGTTACCGATAAGTTCTGCTACTTTCTTCGAAAAAGCTATCTTCATCACTCATACTCACTGAATCTGATTCTAACTTACATTTATACCAGCTGTTCAAGTCGCAGATGGTCTATCAACATTCACCACGCCTTACTTCAATCCCCACGGAGCAATGGCCATCTTCCTCTACCATTCCATTCCATTCACATCCGAGAGAGCTCCCTTGATTCTTAATTGCCAGATACCTCGGAAGATAAGTCGCCGGCTCGTGGTGGACCCAATCGAAATGCGGTTTCTTTTGAGGCTGAGGTGGAACTTGGAAGATATACACAATATAAACTCCCGTATAGAGGAATAAGATGTGATGAGACTTTCGAAATTGAAGTGTTTGATGCTTTCAGTCTCCCATCATTCAATGAAGGTAGGGATGACTCAAGACAGAAAAAATCAACGTCTCGATTTCGTCACCGTGTTCGCAATGGCAATTCCTTTAAGTGACACAATCACGTATGTTGAGCCATGTCACATGAAAAATACCATTTCACATGAAAATTGAAGAAGAAAAATCTTGTTGTTATTCGTCAAAGACTTGATTAACATTGGCATCAATCGGACGGGGGATTCGTGACCCGTTTGCTACCTCTAATGCTCACCTATCTTTACACATTAGTCCTATCTATGTGACCGTCCACAATTGCCACCGAACTTCCAGTTAAATTCATTTCCAAATAGGGAGCATCAGATTTCAAAGGAAACCAGGTTGATAGACGGTATCTGTGGTAACCTACCTAGTTAATTTAGGGACCACGTAAACAGAGCATCGAGGAGCAGCATACCATCGCCACTACAGCATCATTTATTGACAATTTAACGTCACTAAGAGACAGTAGTGTCAATGTAACCATGGAATCCAACTTCATTTTTCGATAGAACTGACTGTTCCATCAAAGGTCTCGAATGAGTATGATAATTTACTTTTCGGTAAGGATGTGTGGATCAATGCCCCACAATTTTCTGACAGTCGAGCAACTACCGATATTTCGTCCTTCGAACACAAACAATAATGAAATAAGCTTAGGAAGACTGCATCTAAATCTACAATATCTTCATCGAGTTATAAGCTTAGCTCCGTCTCATTCCACTACGGCAATTAAGGAAGATGCTTGTCTATCATCTCAACCATCATTCACGATCTCATTTTAGATCTTGCTGTACTCCCTAAGTCGGGTACCCTACTTTCGAGCCATCCCTGTTTTGGGCCACTCTTTACCACCAAAAATCTCAAAAAATGGAATTTTTAACTTTCTTATTTAAGAATAGAATTTATTGAAAATTTGTATATATATAATTCAGATCGTTTTGAATCTAATCTGAAAATTTTAGATTTTTAGGATTTTTCTATATTAAAATCTAAAGCTTTAAAATATCGATTTTTTAATTTATATAAGAATCATATACAAATTTAGAACTTTTATAAAATCTTTAATAACTTTTTAACAACAATCATTAAAAGAAAACTATATATCTTTTTGAAAGTTTTGAACTTGAATTTATATAGAAATTCAAAAGAAAATTCAAAAAAATTAACAGATATAAAGACATAGTATATAATGATTTTGAAATAATATAAATAATTCCTATAATTTTGAGAATATTCTTTTAAATATTTATTTATAGGAAACTTTCTTTTTTTTCTAAATCCTTCAAAATAAATATATTATAAATTTATAATAAAATTTTATAGTTTATTTTTAATAATTTTTATTAAAAAGTTATCAAAGATTTTATAAAAGTTTCAAATTTATATATGATTCTGATACAAATTTAAAAATCAATATTTTGAAGCTTTAGATTTCAATATAGAAAATTCCTAAAAATCTGAAATTTTCAAGCTAAATTAAAATTGATCTGAATTATATATAGATAAATTTTCAATAAATTCTATTTATAAATAAGAAAGTTAAAAATTCCATTTTTGGTGTAAAAAGTGGCCCAAAAGGAGGGTGGCCCGAAAGTAGGGTACCCGACTTATCTTTCAATTCTCTGATTTATCTCATCAGGCATCATTATGCCCCGAAACCCCTTGAAATGTGGCTTGAGGTATGTAATCTTTGATAAAATTCACCATATACTCCAATCAACACAATCAAACACTGTATCTATCCTTGTTTTTGCAGCTACCACGGGAGATAAACCAAGACAACAATGCTTCTTCAATCTTATTGTTCGAAGTAAAAGAGCCGAAAATTCTGACTTCATAATTGATTTATATGGAGGCTCTAGTTCGATGTGTTGCGTGCTACAAATGAGGCAACGTTATCTCAAGTTGGGCGCGTTTTGTCATACCACAGACCTATTTTGCTCATGCAGGGCTTGCTCTGTGGTAGCTCTACACCCAAACTTGTTATTTCAATCAGTACTACTATTTGATTGGTCTGCAACAACCCGTTTCTGTCTTACTCATCTGATAAAATAATAGTATAACCGAAGGGCTCAGTTCTTGATGTGGTAGGTCGCAGAGCAATCCATACTGATCATGCAGATTTGACACAATCCGTCCAGAGCTACAGTCCAACATGAATAACGAGTATGACGACTTAATAATTGAATACCATGAATTTGTCATCACCCAGGTTTCTCACGATCTAGTCACAATATTTTGTTAGGTTGGTCACGTTTTAATACTTACTTCAGGTCAGGAACACGTGAAGTTTCTTGGAATGAATTAGCTCTGATTGAATTTCTCTGAATTTCCCACTGTCCAATCCGGATAGGCCGAGTTCGACGCATGAGTAAGTTCACAGTCTTGATCTCAATGATAGGATTTCCTGCCCATGTCACAGCATACATGTATCCTGAGTCGGGTAGCCAGCTTGATCAAAAGTCGGAAATCTTACTTACCAGGAGCCTTTCTCATTTCATTGGCTTGATTACTAGTCAGCCAAGCTGGAACTTCTTCCGTCCCGAATATGCAATCCAAAAGAATGGACTTGCAGCCACAACAATACTTGATTTCCGTCCACTCATCCTTGCTACCGTTATGTGGACGCCGGCGAAATCAGCTGGAGGTCTTGGAAAAAAAAAAGCAAACGAGTTCCCATCACTGGCTCTTGTCGCTACAAACAAACTCTACGTGGAATTCAATTCCTTATCTCTGCTACTGCCCCTTGAACTCACCCCGCAGTCGTCACAAAAGTGCCGGCGAGGCGTGAGGCGATCTTTTCCCTGTCGCATTACAATTTTCTCTCATACAACAGCTGCAAAGGCACCCACACCAGAATTTCTAGTCCCCAATCTCTCGCTGAACATGAGTGCTTTGATTTCACTGATAACTTCTTAATGCTACATATCCATGACTTTGCTGGCTACCAAAACCATCAGTTCCCCAAAATTTCTTGGGATTGTATGAGCGAAAACCGTTCTCAAGTCAACAGCATCCTGATGAATCTAAATGCCATTACATCTCCTTTTTCTTTTTTCTTTTTGCGTTTACATGAATCGCCTCGCTGATTTTTCCAGTCCCCCTTGAGAGAGTGCAGGACATAGCTGCAGCATCTCTTTGGCAGGCCGTGGCTCAAGTTCTTTCAGGAAAATACAGATTCGCCTCCTTGGTATAGCAAACGATTTCTATTCTCTCTGCCAGTTAGATTGCTTGCGTTTGCATATTGAATGTGAGTAAGGACCTGAAGCAGCCACAGGCTCGGCAGTTACCAAGACTCTTGCAGCGAACCGTTCTTGCCATGGACTCCATTCGACATGCAGTCGATACAAGGACCGGGTACTTGCCGATTTGAGAATTTGTGGCACTATCATGCAGCAATGATAAAGGTAGTATTAGCTGGGTCTTGCGGGGAAACAATTCTCGCGTTCCTATGTCTGTCATTTTTAGTACTGATACTGTAGCCACAATGTACCAGAAATCTCGGAATGTTCATCCGATCACATTTTGGAGCGGATTTTGAGATACGCTAAGCCGGACTTGATCGGTTTGTTCTTTGTGTATCTGCTCAAGCGACGGGATCTTTCTGTCATGTTTCTCTGTTGTGATAGTAATCTTTGAACAAGAGGCAAGTAAACAGTTTCATTTCCACTGTCTCTTTGATCATGCTCCATTCCGTCGGGCTGGGCAGGTCTCGTCGCATTAAAGCTTAATTTGAATCCGCCGGAATACTGGAAGTTAAAACATCGAGATGGAAGCGTGCAGTAGACGGGTTCGGGTCCGCGAGCAATACACAGGCTTCGATTGTCGAAAAATGTTTGCTGGCTTTGACCTTGCTGTCTTATGGCATATTTGATGTTCGCAAATCGTTTAAGTGGTGATGGGTGCTCTTTTCAAATCAAAATCTTCAGATCGACTGCTTTACCGAGACTTCTGCTACATTAAGATATTTCAATACTTTTACATCCCGTTTCACTTACTACCTTTCTGATTCACGACATCATGGCGAATTCTACTTCAGTCAACCAAGCAACCCCGCTATACAACTGTGAAAAATGTTTTAAGACATTTACAGCGAATCACAATCTTAATATTCATACTCGGACAGTGCACAAGGAGTTAGAGAGATGCCCGCTCTGCAACAGTGTGGTCAAAAATCTGGTACAACATAATACTAGATGTCACGCAGATATCAGCAAGGGAAGAAGACAGTGTCAATACTGCTCTAAATGGCTCATACGTATTTGCGTGCATAAATGCTCTCGGCAAAGCCAACAGAGCTCATATGTATCTACAGCTCGAGTGCCGCTCTGCATTGCGGAAGATCTTGAGCCGTTGCAAGTTTCTTCATCAACAACTTCCCAAAGTATGTATACAACCAAGCTTTAGCAACATTTCTCTGTATCTAACATGGAATAGACTACCTTCCGAGCACTCCCATCATATCTCCACAGCATTCAACGAGCAGATCAGTCTCTTTGCTGTCTTTGAACAACACTGATTCGACACATCAGATCTCATCTTTCGAACTGCCTCGCAATGACGACGAGTCGCCATCTAATTGGGAACGCCTAGACTTTTTGATGGATATGATGGTACCGTTGGACCCAACAAAAGGCTCGCCTGGGCTGGTAGCGACTTATCCCGATGGTATTCATGACACCATATCGATATCTCCGAGTTTGATACCACACAGCTGGGGGTTTCCGTCAACCTCTTCGTCTCAAGGAACGTTTAATATAGATTTAACAGAGTACGATATTCCGGTGCCTAGTACTGAGTCTTGCGATGCAGATCATCCATCTGCCGAAGACCCAACAATTACTGGGTACGGGTTTGATTGGATGACGTGGGAGGAGTACACGAGTTGCAATTTTAATACACTAGAGCAGTGGTTATGAATTAAGTATAGACTGAGGGCATCTAGTTGTAGATATGTATCATCAATATATAAGGAGCGGATCGTGAGATCGGGCACTGATCGCGTATCGCTAGCAGAATCATTCGAATCAAAATTTACACTTGGCTAATTCCACCATTAAATGCTATCTTTGATTGTGACAAGGCCCATACATATCAGTATCTGACGAGCTTGTTATTCCTATATATTTACTGTTACTTGAATTTTTTTTGTAAATGTTCAAACCTAGACATACATCCAAATCTACGCTTCTTACATATCCACTCTTCACTTCCTCCAGCGGAACGATCAGTCACTAATATAATTGGTCAACAGGTGCAGTTCCAGGCTCAAATAAATCCAGGTGATGCACACCTTGCTGCCTTCAACTAAGAGGTCGGAGGACAAGTCATTTAAATGCTGGACTTATTTTGAAGAACGGGTGTGACAATGTTGACTGCTGCGCCAAAGTGCTGGTCTGCTTAGCTTCTCGGTTGGCGTGTTTGTCGACGAGCGAAAAAGTGTGTTGGGCAAAACATAGAAAGAAACATTATACAGTCATATATTGAACCGAATTTTTTGGCTTCGGTTTCTGATATTGAGTTTCCGATACTAAGTGCCAAATTGGTGCTGGATTCAGTGATTATGGACAGCTTCGTCAGATACGTGACGTAGATGACGATCGTAATTTGTGCATTCTTATCATGATCGTATATAAATTCATTAATATACAAGAGATAGACACTAGCATCGAAATCAATGTGAGCAATTTTACCATAGTTCCTTTAAAACTTCTGGAAATACCATTCTCCAGCTTCAAGCTACACAATATCCTTCCCAACTTCTCTCAGCCTTGTCTCCGATGTCGACCCCATATACATATTTACAATCAGCCTGTCAGACCCCCATCTGAATTCCTTCAACGCTGCTCCCCAAATTATAGTTTGGCAGGATTGCGGCTTCGAAATCGAGTACTATAGTCGGAGTAAAGACGTTGGGTTAAGGTTGATGTCCGTAGAGCGCGGCTCACCCCCGCCATTAAACCACGGCATTGACTCGCATAAGTCGCCTCGTGGGATTGAAAGATAGAATGGGTTTCATCTGATTATCTCTGTGACATCCGGAATGTTGTGTTTGTGTTTGTGTTTGTGTCTTGGACTTCGCATTCGCTTCGGGTCTGTGGCTTAGTCATGGCTTAGTCAGCACTGTGATAGGAGTACCACGTTCTTTGGGATGTTCCTGTTCTTTATTAAACTTTCCATACCCTAGTATACATTTCCATCCAGTATGTAAGGTTGATCCCCCTCCACTTTCCAGGAGCAATGTTTCGTGGAAGCCGAATTACATTCCAATAGGTACCTAGGTACTTTGTCCTATAACACAACGGGATCGATCAATCACTGTTTGCGACGATTGTTCCGTTGGTCTCGGCGAAATGTCCTTCAATTATCTTACGATGCACAGATGACACGATGTATATCACTAAGTGAAGCAAAGTCAGGGAGATATGATTTTCAAATGCAGCAATCTGTGTATTTCGGGTTGGTTTTAATCAACATGTATCCAGCGATACATCTTGGTTCTAATCTTGGATTCTTGTATAGCGAAATCGCGAGATTTACGACAGTACACCTCTTTCTCCAGCGATTCCGTAATTTCCGAACAGCTTTACAAGGTTGACTGCCGATAAGATTTAAGCTTTTGCAGATCGCTAAACGAGGCAGGTGGAAGCTGCGGGGGTTTGAATCACTTTAATCTACTCTATTCTGATTGGCTTTTTGCGATATTGTTATATTACTAGAGCTCTACAACTTTCGTCCGTAAATTGGCTGACAGGGAAGTGCACTTTCATATCTAGGTCATTGACTTTCGTATATCGAATCCTCTAAGTTACAATGATGGCGAGACTTCACACCACATTAAATCGAACTGGCAGTTGCCATTTTAAATTAGGATCCATTTTTTTTGATTGTCCATTCGTATTTACACAGGCTAAATCCCCTGCTTTAGATTCTATTCGCGCTCCAACTACAGAGTTAGAATTAACATGCTCAACGTCTCGGAGAAGCAATGTAATGATGCCTCGTAACACTGCTTATAAGTTGAGATGAAGACCTTTGTTATTGCTGTTGCATGGACTCCTTTCCAAAAAGTTTATGTTGACGGTCTTGACTCATCGTTCAAGACTTTGGCACAACTCAAATCATGTTTCTTCTACACAAGATCATCGGATTGTCCAGTCTTCTATTCACGGCAGTCTCTAGTAAATATGTTTCCCTCAACTCTGGTGATTTGAACGCTAGATTGAATTCTTCGAGTCAGACACTTGTATCTTTGATCCCAAAGTCTTTGACAACATTCGATTTCTCCCCTTTTGATCTCCTCTCACAAAGAAACGAAAATGGCAACTATCATGTTGGTGATATTACACTCAGGTATCGACCTGTTGGATCCACTTCCTGGATCAGTGTCGATTCCGCTGCAGCTAGAAATGCGGTGACTTCCACTGGTGCCACTTCCGCGAACCTCGCACCAACCCTACCATCAGGAATTCCTTTGAACATCACGAGAGCTTGGTCCGCTGGCGGTGCAGATATTAATCTCAACTTTACTATAACCAATGAGGGTGACACCAGCATTGAAATCGGAGCACTTGGATTCCCTATCGAGTTCAATAGCATCTTCACAAATAGAACAGCAGTAGACACTCAGCGAATGTGCTCCCTCGTGGATCCAAACATTGGCCTTGACGGTGGCTATCTACGCGTGACTCCATTATCTGGAACGGGTCCAGCGCTTGTAGTCACACCATTGGGACATACACCCCTCGAAGGATGGCGGTTTTTGGACGAAGACCCCGACACCGACCTATCCTATCTAAGCCAAACATTTGAAGGGTTTTATTCTTGGGAAACTTATACTCTAGCATACACTCAGAATGAATGGAATGGAACGAGCCCTTGGAATCCTGGTACATCCGTAGTGCTCTCGAAAGGCCAATCGATTACAAAGGGATTGAGGTTTTCTACTTCAAGCAGTATCAGCAATATCGAAACCACTGTAGCAAACACAGGAACTCCTGTTGCTATTGGTATACCGGGATATATCATTCCCCAGGTAAGTGATATGGTTTTCACCTTCGAACTCCCATTCCCATAACCCAATCATTTTGCATCTCTCATCCTATGTGTATATTTGACACATCCCTGATGAAGTTTTGTTCCCTTCATTTGTATGACATTGATTTGTGTCCAGACATATTTTTGACATATAACAGGATCTCACAGCTCAATTGTTCTTGCAACACAATTCACCTGTCTCTTCCATTACATCGACTCCTGCTGGAGCCTTCACATTTACCACTACAGCCACCAATAAGTATAATCTTACCCCTAGCTCCTCTGCATTTGGAAGAGTACGAGTAACAATTATATATTCTGATGGTCTTGTACAAACGGTGAACTATGCCATTACTCTTTCAGCACCCTCTGCCATATCTACGCTGGGCACATTCCTAACAACAAAGCAATGGTTTTCCAATACCAGTGATCCCTTCGGTCGAGGACCATCTGTCATATCATACGACCGTTCAGTTGATGCTCAAGTTCTTCAGGATCCAAGGGTCTGGATCGCTGGATTGAGTGATGAAGCAGGAGCCGGATCTTGGCTTGCTGCAACTATGAAACAAGCAATCTCACCCAATGCAGCTGAGGTGACGAAATTGGAACAATTCATCACACAAACATTATGGGGTAATCTCCAGAACTCTGACTATAGCGTCAAAAAAAGTGTCTTTTACTACCAATCTGGTGCTGTTTCCTACAATTATCTATCTTCGATCGACTGGAGCAATTGGTGGAGTTGGGACAAAGCGACTGCGTATGGTATCGAGAGAACCTACGATTATGTTCATGTTACTGCTGCTTATTGGGCTCTCTATCGCGTTGCCAGATTCTATCCAACGCTCGTCACTCGGCAGACCTGGCAATGGTATTTGAATCAGGCTTATGAAACTATTATTTATGCTACCGGTCCAAACACGGACTATGTAGATGTAGGATTGATGGGCGAGACTGTTTGGGGACATGTCTTGCAGGATTTACAAAATGAAGGAAATACTACTGCGGCGAATGCGGTTATAGCTGCGATGAAAAAAAGAGCAGATTTGTGGGATAGTGAGGCCGTTCCTTTTGGGAGTGAGATGGCTTGGGATTCTACTGGGCAGGAGGGGGTTTATTATTGGGCCAAGTAAGTAATGTTTCATCCACACTTGATTCTCGCTAATTCATTTCTTCCAGCTATTTCGGCTTTACAGCTACAGTCACGAAGACGATTAATACGATCTTGGGATACATGCCCACGGTAAGCCATTGGGCCTGGAATGGCAATGCGAGAAGGTATTGGGATTTCATGTAAGTCAGCTAGACTCTCCACATTTAATCAAACTCTGTGGATAAATTAAGCTAACAAAAAAAAGCTATGGAGGCAAGTTAATGGGATTTGAAAGAATGGGTCATCACTATGGCTCTGGTCTAAATGCCCTCCCACTCCTATCATACTTCGAGCAAAATCCCTCTCAAACATATCTCCTCCGAGTCGGATACGGCGGAACAAATGGCCCATTATCCAACATCGACCACGAGGGCTTCGCCTCAACTGCTTTCCATACCTGGCCCGATACAATGGCTTGGGATGGATATAGCGGGGACTATGGACCGAATTTCGTAGGATTGGCATTAGGATCCGGTGTCTACGTCGTGGATGATACTGAATTAGGTCTCATTGCTTTTGGGGGTACCCTCTCTGGCTCAAATACATCGTGGACTGTAGAGCCGAGAGATGCGATAAGGAGGAAAGTGTACATCGCGCAGCTGGGATTTAAATTTGAGGTTGATGCGGCGGTTATTGAAAGTGTTGGGTATGAGGATGGAAAGGTACAGATTAGTATTGTGCCGAGCGTGGAGACGGTGAGTAGGATGGCGAGGGCGAGTGAGGCAATTCTGAGGGTTACGAAGATGGCACAGGTGGGGGTGACGGGGAAGGCGGTTTTGGATGGGTTGGAGGAGTTGAGGGGGGGGTGGAAGGTGGATCTTAGTGGTGGGAGGGTGGTTGTATTGGTTAGTTTCGCGTAGAGGTTTCTTGGGACCAGGATACATGAGATACAGAAAGCTCAGCATTTTATTGCAGATTGCATGGAAGAGAACATGGAATACAGATAATCACAGTAACAGTCCCACCTCACATGCACACACCCCTCTGCGCTCTATTTTTCACAACTGTACAATATACACAAGAAGCTTTTCCACCAAGCGTCGAGGCTCGTCGAATTCAGCCACTATTACTGAAGCTTTCCCGCAACGTAGATCATGGGTAAGCAGAAATTTACTTCAAGCTCTTTCAAAACAAGCTAGGAGATTGAAACCCCAATTTTTTATCGATGGAAATGGATTGCCAAAGCCGAGAGAAATAGGACGGGTAAGATTGAAGAGAGGAAGTAAAAAACTCGATTAAAACTTATTCACAATGATAATATTCGGAGGATTTAATTGCTAACTTCCTGTATTTGTGAGAGTTCGGCACCATTGTCAACCTCAGTGTCACTACTGGGAGTGCCGTTGGTCAATAGTATTAATGGCCAAGTACACTATCTACCATTCTTTTGATTTAGTACATTCCAGAATTATAGAAAGCATACCCGCGACGCAACTTTGTGTTTATACTAACCTGTTTTTGATCCATAACACGGTCGACCGTCAATCGTATTCTCAATCAAGTCAATTTGATTAGTTGGCAGAATCACATGAGAAGTCAACTCAAACATTAATTCCTTAATCCTGTGCCTTAAAGTCTCGGGGCCCATACCTTAGCCTTGTTGAAGCCGTCGGCTTGGTAGCAGCGCGGGCGTTGAGATCTGGGGGAGGGATAGCATCATAGGTTGTCCCCTTGTCATCGCAAGTATCGTGGTCGAATCGAGTTAAGAACATGGCAACGATAAGGAGTTGTTCCAATTTAGCAAACTCGAAGCGAAGTTTTTGTGTTATGCTACTGGCTTGGAGGAAATTTGTCTTGGGAGTGCGAAGGAGAACAAACACCCTACGGGATGGGATGTGAATGAAAAATGAAACCTCACCTGCGTGCCCAGACACGGATGTCTCCCAGCTCCCCACATTATTCAACAGAATGGCTTCTTCTTATCTTCAGCACGCTCCGCAAAATATCTACTGGGATCCCATTTCAACAGTCCCAGATAGATGCCTGGGTCTTGATGAACATCTGAGATATGGTAGGTCTATAGTCGGCATTAGTGACTGGAAATGACAAAAAGATGACGCAAAAGCATACCAAAAAGGTACCACTTGGGACAATCTCATTACCAATCTTCACGTCTTCGGCTCCCATGTTGCGACGATACATAGTTTTTAACAACTGCAGACGAATACTATTTGTGAGACAGCAGTCAAGGAGAGGAAACTCGGACTCCCAGGCTTCAATTGGAATGGCTTCAACACGCTGCCCCAGCGGCAAAGAGCGATCGGGTGCATACTTGTCCACCACGGCATCAACTTCGGCGCGCACACGATTATACCAGTACCGGCTACTACCTATATAGGTAAGCATGAACAAGGCATTAATGCCGGTGTTGAGCTGCCCAGCGAAGACAGCGCCAACAATGAACTACGAAGGGATATCATTAGTCTAACCGCTAAAAGTGATCATTGAAGAAGTGAAGAGCAGACCTGGATTATGAGTCTGATATCGTCACCCATGTCAATTAAGTATTGAAGCGCGTCATTCTCACGATGGTTCGTATTTTTGCGGTTGTCCATAATACCTTTGAACAGGTAATACAGCCTCCCTCCTGCGATGGTTCATTTTATCAGGGCGGATGTCGGCATCCAGGGGAAAATAATGCTCATTGGTATAGTAATTTGCTCGATTGCTTCGAATAACCTCAATGTCTTCCTTAGCTTTTCAGTGTCGTTGGCAATCTCAACGCTACCAACCATACGCATAGTGAGCTGGAAGACAATCTCATAAATAGAGACAAATGGGTCAGTCGTGCCTGTCTAGGGTTGAAACTCGTCTAGTCTTCCTTAGATATCGTGAATAAAAGAGTGTAAATCTGAAAGTAGGTAGAGTTAGCAAGATTAATGATGCTAAGAAGGACAGAATTATGTTCTTACTCTTAGCGAGATATTCACGGCGAAGTAGGTGGGTGATTCGAATTGTGAAGTAGCGTAAAAGATTGGGCTCTTGGGCAACATCATTACCCTCATCGTTTTCACTGCCCCCCCCCCCCCCCCCCCCCCCCCCAAAGAGAACAGCATAGCTTCAGGAAAGTTCACGTCAGCGGAGGACCTCTTGACGGGCTACAGCAGCTCTCTTCTCCATCTTCATCCCCTTTTATGCATATATGACCAAAGAAGAGACACGATTAAAAGGAAAGACCAAGTGTCCTTACCTCTCTGCAATACCGAAACTTTGATTCTGAAAAAACACATGCCTTGCTTCGTTACCTGACAATCAACGATGAGATGCCGGCCTAGGGTAGTTCTCAGGAACAGGGAATAACCATAGTACTTTAAGAGGGTGGCCCGGGCGGCGGAAGAGACAGAGAAAGAGAAGTGTAATGGCAAGAAATGCGTAGACAAGAAGCAGAGAAGGGGGGTTTAAAGAAGATCAGTGGTGAGAAAGAGTATAATCAATGACTGGCAGATGGGAGGTGAGATCGAAGATTGGAACGTGGCTGTAATCAACACTTATCTAGTATGATTCTCTCAAAGAACAGCAACTCGAGGGATATTGAACATCAAGAAGGCTTCGTCGACCATAAAACAATTGGGTTCCTCAAGAGTTGACTAGGAGCAACAAGTCATAGCTATTTTGACGAATCACCGAAATAGTTCAATTGATATGGCTGATCTGACTGCACATCAGTAGGCTTCCGGAATAAGTATTTCCAAAAGAGTAATACAACACGATTGATTATAGTCAGGGAACTGTGGTGTGGAATCAAATACTGGTTCTACCAACAACGGGCCAGAGTCCTGAGTGCCAATTCTAGGTAGAGGGTTGAAGGATGCAATGGTACAGTAGCTACAGCGATGACATATTTCTGTCCACAAAGTGTGAGCCCCCACCTACCATCGAATATTTGTAGTCTCAGGCAATGATTAGACAAAAGTGAAGCAAACAATGCTTGGAGGATAATGTATGCCTTTGAATTCCAAATTGGTTGTTGTAAGTTGAACCCTCCATTTTCTGGCCACCGTCGGTGTATGAGGCACACTTTGTACACTAAGATCATTAGCTGATTCTTATTGATCGCAATTATGCCTCGATTCTTGGAAGCATCTACCCGACACTCTAAAACACAATGACTACTTCACTCCTTGATCCAAACAAAACCCCTCTGTCCCTGAATTCAAGTGGAGCTCCACCGAACTTCATCAATCCTCCTACTCAATCTCCAACAGTTCTTGGTACGGGTATATTTCTCATCACAATCAGTACACTATGCGTTTGCACTCGAGTGCATACTAGCCTGAAGCAAAGGAGACTACATCTTGACGACTGTGAGATATGAGCCTTTACAATTATTGAACATGTATACTAATTCATTTGCTGGATTGCCCCGTTTTTGGACTTGTAGGTGGCATTGGATTTTGAGGAATTATCTACTCTTGTAGGTCCCAAGTTTTCACAACAATCAACCAAGTCGTTTTACTTACCTACCGGCGTTGGGATCAGCGGCAGTAGAATGTTGGAAGACACAGTTGGGATGTACCCCTTTCCTTCCTCTCCGACTCATATACCAATGTAAGACCTCTATAACACCACAGTGGCTCGGCAAGATACTTATCTCCCTGATCTCAGAGACAATTCGCCTCCCAAATCCTCATATCACCGGTCAAGTTTGCCATCACATCAGCCATCATCATTGTTTATAAGCGCATTTTTGGGGTTCTCAAATGGGTTCGCATTGTCTCCTATGCTCTCTATATATTCCTTTTTTTGATACAGGTACAGAATATTTGAATGGCTATATATTGTCACACCCCTAGGAGAGGTGATGTCAACAACATTCAAGCTGCCCTTTTAAGGAGCGTGGAAACTTCCTCTTCAGCTATCGCCAACGCTGTCTGTTCCACAATAGTTGACATCGTGCTGTTTCTTATTCCGATGGTTGTTGTACCTACCCTGAATATGTCTCGTCATAAAAGGCGAGCCATCTATAAGGTCTTTTACTTTAGAGCCCTACAAGTGCTTGATATGAATACCCCCTTCAAAGCCTTCTTTATTCCCAGTAATGGAAATTGCTGACATTACTTTAGGATCATCATTGCGGATTGTGTTGGTATAGCCTATAAAACTTATGGCGTTCTTGGAGAACATGGGTATCCTATTTGGGTTGGCATGATTGCTATCATCACTGTGTAAGCCGCAATTATGCAATAATTGAATGGAAAGGAGGCTGGGGCACACTCATAAAGTTACTAATGAATTTCTAATCAGGTATGCTGAAACGTTTTTCCATGTCATCATTAGCTGTATACCTGCTCTCTCCACGTTCTACATCGGCACATTTACAAAAAGTCACTTCTACTCAACACTCCAGTATGGCATTTTATACCAACTAAGAAGGTCCGAGGCGTCCAGCATCCCGTCATCGGGACCCGAGCAACCCCATTCCATGTATTCAACTAGATCTTTGCTTGGAAGCGGCAAGAATATTGTTGATATCAAAATGCTCGAACTCAAATCAAAGAAGCCTTCTCAAACTTCCTCGTATTCCAAATTAGGGAAGCAGGAGTCTGGAAAAGTCAATCAATCGTCCTAATCTGGCTTCCCAATCGTATTATGCATAGGAAATAGAGAAACCTCGCGAGGCAATGGCCGACAAAGAAATCTTTGAGCACAAAGCTGATTTTAAAATGAGTTACAGTGGAGCGCCTGGGGGTCATTAATCCCTTTTGTATATACTCGTAGGAGGGTATCAAATGGAATATCGATCTTAGAATTGCTTAACATCTTAGTGAGATCCTTTTTTGAAATGTCTTGGGCCACTATGCAGCTTTGAATGTCTATGCTACATAGCGGTATGATTCTGTATTAGATTGAAAGGTATTAGGTAGGTTGAATCTCACCTGCATCTATGTCGATCAACCCTTGATATATGAGCACAATGAGTACAAGGAAAGGGCAGACTTGACCATGGAGAAATACAAGTATAATCAATATCGTTCATCCTTGGGAAACGATGTAGTTTGAGTATTTCCAATTTCACTACCATGCTCCTCCACCTAAATTTATCAGGCATCAACTTCAGAATTCACCGTTTCTTCCGTATACGCTGTATGTTAGCTTTCCCCTGCTACTGCACTGACACTTTTGTATCCCGATATCATCATCTTTATGAATATGGGCCGAGCGATCGCTGGTCAGAAGTTGCAGCAAGTCTCTATGCTGGACCTATGTAACTTACCTTCAAAGAAATTGCTTTGGAAGCGATGAGGTAGAATTGGGCAGTACTATGCAATGGTTCTCTTGAAGCCCAGTCATAGTTGCACACATCATGGCTACGCTACTCATAGCGACTTTTAGTTAAAGTGTTTCGTTTTATTAGAAACCGAATTCCCAGTCTTCTTGATCTCTAATGATGCAATTTCTTTCCGCCTCGAGACATGTCCGGCTATGAGAGCATCGTCAGTACCTGCTGAGACTGACTTTGCCGTCTTGCATACGTGTACACAGGTATTCAGCGAGCGAGTAGAAAGAAACGCTACAGGGTGACTGTTAAGGTGAGGGAAAAGAAAAAAATAGATCAGAGAAATGTGCTTTTGTTATAAACACGACATCAGTATCTGTCCACACTACGTCGCAAATCATAGAAGACAAGAAACATTGCTCACAATGACCCATAATTATGGCAATATTATAGAATGCTCCTTGTAAAAATGTAAGTTTCGGACTGAAGAAGCGAAATTTCTTCGATGGTGCGATTGAATGTCAATTCCTAGATAGGGCATTGAAAACATGACATTCGAATCGGTCGGAAAGGTTTTGGATTTATTTTGGTAATGAAGAATGATTGTACGAGCTATATAGGCCCATCTGAACTGTTTATGACATTTTCGCTTTCAATGAGGGCGACGAGTGATTCTGATGTATATTGTTCCTTCAATAGTGCTGTAGTCATCACATACAATTTTATGTTTGTCATATATATCGGAATGTGCGCTACGGTCCCCACAAACAATCACTCGACTCTGGCCAGTAGGTCGCCGTTCTCTTTAAAAATTCTAGATTGCACTTCGGCATCAGATTTCGTCCTCCTCATCACAATCAGAAGCTGGTAACGGTTGATTCCTGGATGTTGGCACCGTTGATCTTTTCAATTACTTAGCGGGACGATTATACTCGTCATGTTCTTCCGGCCTTTCATTCTCTAAATAACAAGCGAGAGTGCAATTGGTTCTGTACCCCATGAAGAGATCTCTCTGAATAGAGTTGAGATGCCTAACCATGTAGACTGTTCAACTACTAAGCATTATATCGAGCGTGCGTAGCACCGAACTTACTCATAATGAGGTTGCAAGAATCTGTGCACTCAATGAACATAGCTGTCTAGAGGCAGCGCAATTCCGATCTATCTTATGCTTGAATCAAGAAACTCTTGCGTCAGACAAGCGCAAACTTCAGCCTGATACCCCATGAGAGCTCCCCACCATTCGCAGTCTATTTATACTTGAAGAACGTACAAAATCACAGGCGCTCTATGGTATGAGAAAGATGAAATCTGGGCCGACTTGGTGGTTTTTTGGGTTGCGTCAGCTGCAAGTGGCAATAGAGATATAGGCTGCGCACAAATTATCTGTACCCATGGATTATCTACGGATAATCCGCTCCACAAATTATCTATTAAGGCTTTAAAATTACTCGCTCTATATAAATAATCCATAGATTATTTACAAATAATTTATTTATTCACAAATAAATGAATTATTTATAAATATATAAATTATCTACAAATAATTTATGGATTATTTGTAAATAATTTATGGATATATAAATTCTTCAAAAAAAATAGAAAATCTCTACTTTTTTTGTTTAAAATATAAAGTTATTTCTAAATTATTTTTTAATTCAAAAATAATTTAAACTTAGATTTATATTAATTTTATATTAATTATAAAATTATATTAATATTATAAAAGATTATAAATAATTATATGATATACAGATAGATAAATATTTACAAATAATTTGTATTTGTTTTATGAGTTATTTATTCAAATTTTGAATTATCTATTCTGTAAATGAATTATCCGCGGATTATCTGTCAATGTGACGATCCTGTCATATTAGTGGATCGCTTAGGGACCCATATGATCCACAATCCTATATATTATCACTTCCTTTTTAAAAACTGTTTTAATTCTTTATCTTAGTATTCTAAATAATATAATTGTTATATTATACTAAGATTATATAGTAGTAGTAGTAAATTTATAATCAATTCGGTCTATATAGCTATACTAAGACTATATAATGCACTTGTATATAGTTCTAATTGAATAAGATAGATAGGAAAAGGAAATAAAAATCTATCCCTCCCTGAACTTTCTTATTAAAACTCATAAGCAATCTTTCGAATAATTCTTTCAATTTCTTTGAATTATTTATATTATAGACCTATTATATCTAGAAACTTTCCTTCTATTAAACTCTTTAATATATCAATAAAAACCCTACACTTTCTACTCTATTATAATAATTCTTTTCTTTTTATTCAACTCTTTCCAAAATATCATAAAAGCTATGATTAATTATAATGTTGTATCCCTTTTAAAGAATTATCTTCATCTTCTAATACTTCAAGTCCTTTAAGAATCCTATTATAACCCCTAATCTATTACTTATAAGCTTTATATTCACCTTTTCATATAATACATTAATAATATATAATTTCTTTTTAAAATCTAATATCTTTTATTCCCTTTCCTTCCGTCATATTACCCTATCGATATAGAATATAATATATTAGGGCCTACCGAATCACCCTATCAATACAAAGAATAAGACTATATTATAGGGCTAGATAGTTGAATAAAATCGAAATAGTAAATATGATGATATCTGTTACGGGAGCTGCCTCTAGGGTCACGTGGAAGTGTCTAGAGATCTCTCGAGGTGGTTTAGACTAGACTTCAAGTAGGAATTCAATAAGGTTGTAACTGGTTGCAATTCTCGTAACTATAGTAATGAAACTAATGATTGTTCTTGAGCACGAAGCTCTACATTGTAATGAAACCCATTCCCTTATATAGACCTTCGTTCTCGTCTGGATAGCTTGGGTAGACTGTCTATCCTGTCTATCCACGGATAGCCTGGATAGCTTGCCTATCCTGTCTATCCATCACGTGACACTTGCCCCGTGACCTATATGATACTACTGCTTATCTAACCTGTGCTTACTAGATAACCTGTAACCGCTATCCCTCCTGTGCCTACTGTAGGATAGGTGCCAACAAAAGATAGGTACCTATCTTTTAATCATTGCTTATTGATTCGGTTACCGCTATCTTTCGTTACCCTTTAATCCAACTGTCCCTACAGTGCTGTTTTCGTAGGTTCCAACACCAAGGCCTTAGGTTTATCTTATAATCCATGTTGCGGTGCGGGTACCTCCGTAACATATACAAGGTATATTATATAATCGAATAACTTATTGAATACTTAGTTTTTTGTTTTTCTGAAGAGCTTTAATAGCTAAAAGTAAATGTACTTTTTTACTTATAAATTCCATAATAAATGGTTGATAAAATGTATGTTGAATATGAAGAATATAAATTAAAATGAAAATGGCCCACTTAATGATATGGTCTACTCGGTGCTAAACTACGTTATATAATTCTTAAATACATAAACTCTATTAATTGAGAAAAATTGATTGAGAAATTACAATTGTTTATAGTTATAATTTCTTATAAAAATATTTAATAAGAAAATGTATTGTTGAGTTTTTAAACTCAAACCTTTGTTTTTTCAGATCGATTTTATATATACTGTTCTTTGGTACTTGAAAAACATAACATATTTATTTGAATAATATTTAATTGAAATTCAAATTTTTATTGAATTTTGAAGCTGATTGATTGAGGTATGAAATTGTGCTTTACTGTCACGCTGACCTGTGAGTCCGTGCACCCACTGATGGTCTGATAATCAAATGATCGATTCCTCGAGCTTAAATCTTCCTCAATCACAGCCTTTTTTCAGGGCTCAATACTCTGATGTATGTTCCGCTATTTCGTGAAGTTTCGGAGTGTGTTAATAATAATAATAATGTCAGACAGCGTTTTGATCGTCAGAGTTGGAGGAAAGGGATTATTAGATTATTAGACAAATTCTTGCGGGGATCTCATCGATATTATAAGTTATGTAAAACTTGCTTTTTTATATATAGGATAAATACTACTAGGTAGATATATGTACAGAGTAAAAGCTTCAAGAATCTTGATCCAAACAAGCAACTGAGCACACGACATCGATATTGAACTAGGTAGGTAGGTACATGCAATGATATTTTCTCAACCAATCATCAGTTACTTATTAGAGAATAGTAATGATCACTCTACCAAATACGAGCTAGATCGTACATTGCCCAGGTGTATGTACCTGGTTCCTTACGAACTACGAATGTACGAAGTATAAATACCATCTACCAAAATGGCTGATGATGATTTGTGCCTAGATACAATGTGCATGCATGGAAACGGTTCTCGACCCCGCAAAGGGAGTAAGTACTCAGATAGTAGCTAGTGATCTGATGAGTTGTAAGGGGGAGGTATCAATTGAATTCTCAACACTCTCACTGTCGATGTATACCGCTTATTGATTAGACGTCTCTTGAGACTCGCACCTCTGTTGACATTGTCGTGAATATATTTCTTTTCCTACCTTTCTGTCTTTGTATCGTCCAGACTAAAGCCAAGGACCGAGTAATAAGGTCAAGCTTCCAACTGAGACTGCCCGATAATTCCTTGGTTCGGAAAATCCCAAGTTCCAAGGCGTCATAAATGATAACTGGCCGTAGAACTAGCCTACTAGGGTTTTTAGCTGCTTAGATAGCGCTTTTGCTCGACCCAAAATCAAAAAAACCAACTTTTTCCTTCCACGAACACTCACAACATCATAACATTTCATTTCTCATTTCTCATTTCCAAATTCTTTTCTGGTAAAAAAAAGAAAAAGATCAGATTCTGCACTTCGCCTTGTTTTCCCTCTCACAAATGTATCGTATTGCGATAAACGATTCAATCGCTATTATCTATCTCCTTGCAGGTTAAGGAAATTACCTTGATTGGATCATCATTCAATTGGTCCCGTTCGCAAACTCTTAACATACCTACCTTACTTACCACATTCGAGTATCAGCCGGTCGAAGAAACATTTGGTGTCCCTCGACTGAATTACACGTTTTCCCTTCACAATGTCTGCACCACATCCACCTCGTGCGACAGAGCCTACAAGCTCAAATACTCGTGGCACACCACCTCAAAGACCGGAACCTACTGCTATACAGCCACCACAAGATCATTCCAATGATTCCAATGCGACATCAACGCCCAATACCGGGAAAGAGAAGAACAATTCCAAGAAGAAGAGAAACAATCATCGGGGCGGGAAGAAAAAGAGACCAAGAAGACAATCGTTCGCCGCATCAACTGAGGATGGGAATGGTCTGGTTGAAACGCCCATGGCACAACGAAATGCTCCGCAAAGTGTAACAAGGTCAAGCTTCTATAGAGGGCGAAACTTGAGCAATACTAGTATTGAGAGCGGAGAACTTTTGGATCACAGGTGAGTCTTTTAATGGCATATAATACATGGCATACCCTAATCCAGTCTCGCGACAGAGAGCATCAAAGCATGCGACCTCGAAGACCTTCGACAATGGGTCAAAACGCTTTCGGTCAGATGTATGATAGTCCTTCTTTCAGTCGACCTTCGTATAACAATCCATTTAAATCATCAGAAACCGTTTCTCGAAGACCTGTCACCGGTAAATCGAAGAGTAATTCTGATGATGAAGCTCTAATGGAAGAATCCGATGAGAGGACTCCACTTATTTCCAGCGCTTCGAAATCGAAAAGCTCTAATACTTTTCTTCAACAAGGAAAACGTAGTCGTCGAAGCTCTAGCAGGTCATCGACTCATAGCAAAAAGAAGACCATCTTCGAAAAGACTACATCTGCTTTGGCTAGGCAGAATGATGAATATAATGTCAACTATCCACCCTCGGTTCCAGGGTCTCCAGTGCTTGGAGCCACAAATCCGAACATGAGCTTTGGAGATGTAATGGTTCGCGATCATTCACCAGAGCAAGATTCGATTCAGGCAGGATCTATGAGATCTTTTAGGTCTCTCCAAGAGGATGCGTGTGAGGATGATTCAATTCCAGGCACCCCCCGAAAAGGGTCTTCTTACGGAGAACGTAGACACACTATCGCACTGCAAGCCGAAGAGGATGTTTGCTTTCCAGTTGATATGTCTGAGATGGCAGAAGAAGATGCCCCTCAACCAGAAGATGGAGCGTACAGATCACGACGCCATAAAAGGAAATTTCCAAATCTATCTGTCCTCGACGATTGGAGCCGATTTGAGAAGGAGGGTAGAAGTGAAGAGAGACGGGCTAAGAAAATTACAGAACCTCAATTGATTAATGGACGGCTTCGACCCATTCACAAAGGTTGGCATCGAGCAGAGGATGATGCACCATATCGATTTACTTACTTCAATGAAGAATTTCCAAGCACCATTCACAGTCAAACAATTTCAGAACTTGTTCAACCTGGCGGAAGTTTTAGAGAGCTGTTCATTCCTGATCGTCCTATAATCGATGATAGTTCTGACTCTGAAACCGAAGATGAGGCTGATGATACGGATATTCGTCGAGAAAATGCATACATTAATCATGCCCTGGGACCCCAAAACGAAGATTCGAAATCAGCAACTCGTCAATCATCCATAATTGATATGGCAAATCAAGAATCAAAACGCAACGAATCTCCTCGTGCAGGGCGCCCTTCAGAATCGCATTCTAGGCAAACCTCCCATGACGCATCCCCAAATAAATCATCACCACCAAAATCTACTCCGCCGCTTGAAGAAAAGCCTAAAAGATATGGTGATCGTCCTACCTGGTGGCTTGATGTTCTTTCTCCAACGGATGCGGAGATGAAGATCATTTCCAAGACCTTTGGCATACATCCTTTGACAGCTGAGGATATCTTAATGCAGGAAGCTCGAGAAAAGGTCGAATTGTTTCGACATTATTACTTTGTGAATTATCGATCCTTCGAGCAGGATATGAATAGCGAGAATTTCTTAGAGCCTCTCAATATGTATGTGGTAGTCTTCCGGGAGGGTGTTATCAGTTTTCACTTTTCTCAAACACCTCATCCAGCTAATGTTCGACGACGAATTCGACAACTAAAAGACTACTTGAGACTCACAGCTGATTGGATTTCATATGCTATCATCGATGATATTACTGATGTTTTCGCTCCTTTGATCCAAACTATCGAAGATGAAGTTGACGATATTGATGACGCTATTTTGAAACTTCACTCTCCAGCGGAAAACGAAAAGTCTACTAGAGATAATGAGAAGAAATCTGAAGCTGGTGATGGTACTTCGGGAGAAAGTGGAGGAGACATGCTTCGAAGAGTTGGTGATTGTCGAAAGAAAGTTATGGGTCTTTACAGACTGCTGGGCAACAAAGCAGATGTTATCAAGGGATTCGCCAAAAGATGCAATGAGCAATGGGAGATTGCTCCACGAAGTGAGATTGGATTATATTTGGGAGATATTCAGGATCATATTGTTACTATGACTGGAAATTTATCTCATTATGAGAAGTATGTTAATCCTAAGCTGGAAGCATGGTTGGAACCAGTACTAACACATTGATAGAATCCTAGCTCGCTCTCATGGTAATTACCTTGCTCAAATCAATATTCGCATGAATGAGCGTCAAGAACAAACTGCGGATGTTCTCGGCAAACTTACAGTCCTTGGAACCATTGTTTTACCCATGAATATCATTACTGGTCTTTGGGGTATGAACGTATGGGTACCTGGTCAGGATTATGAAGGAGATTTGACCTGGTTTTGGTGCATCACAGCTGGTCTACTATTTTTCGGATTAGCTTGCTTCTATATCGCGAAGATAGCTTACAAAATTGTTTGAGAATGGATCATGGTGAATGAGGGATCTGGGGAAGATCTTATTATACATATGTAATTGTATGATATGGAAGATAAGAGGAAGGGGGATGTGTGTATATACCAATTTCAGGATAGTACTGGGGTTGGAGAATTGTATGAATTGCATGGCTTAGATGGTAGGTTGGATAAAGATAGATACGGTATTCATGTTGCATTATTAGGGTATATAAGGAAACCGGATTGATAGCGAGCTAGTATAATAGGTTAATAAGAAGTAATTTGCAGATATGATCTTGATGTTCTACTACTCAGACCGATGTGAGGATTTCTCCTGAAAATTGGAGATGGTAATTTTATGCATTCTGTGATTGTTGTCCTGTGATATGAATAACATTTGTGAATATTTCTGCATAAAAATATGATGACTAATCAACATCACACTTTCATGTACTCGATACCGTCTGCACTGGTACCCAATTGAATATACCCGTATCAATACTAACATATACGCTCGATCTGTTGAATTCATTTCAATTGATTCTCTAAATGCACATCTGCTTTGCTAGACCAAATAATGCTCATGTTTGATAAGTATCTGAGCAAAGAATACCGGAAAAGTTCTTGGAGGAGAGATTTCTATTTTTCGCTTTCCCTTTGTTTGCTAGTTGAACTTGTGCGTGGTGTAGATTCTTCGTGCTTTTTTGAGGATTCAATCTATATTGAAGTTTTTCATCTGATTTGAGGAAAGAAGTTCTTTCGACGATAGTCTTTGCATTGTCTTGTTCAAGGGCACCGTATTCTAGTTTGATATTTCGGTTTGAGGGATTGGCATCGTGGACCGCGTCTGAAGAAGTCTTGATAGATTTGGGAACGCTTTTTCTTCGCGTTGAGAAAACTCAATTTCAGTGCGCCCGCTGCATTTTTTCCAGCGTCGGGATGTCGAAATTCAAACCGGTGGTCAAGGGGAAAGGCAAAGCAAAACCAAAAGCTAAACCAAAAACGGTCAAAGAGAAGAGTAAACTTCGAGCAAATTTATCGCGGCAGGGTGACATACTTCGCGGAGCCAAACTTCCAGTACCTACAAATACCAAAAGTAAAGTCGCGAAAAACCCAATCATTATAGATCTAACATCTTCCTCACCTCCTCCTCCCCCTCCTATCGAAAAACCCTCTCCGCCTCCCCTAAAAATCATCGCAGCACCGCATAAACACAAACAAAAACACAACCTCACTCTCTCTTCCTTATCAACAAGCGAGCAATCTCCCGGTCTCCACTCTCCCATAACCCGCTCGCTTTCTCTCTCCCTCTCAAAACCACTTGGTCCTGCAGGTGCATTCAACATCTCAACTCGGAAAACCACTACTGCTACCCAGCCTCCCGAATATTACATCCAATCGCAGCATATTAAAGAAATCACACCGGGCACCATCGTGTGGCTCCCGTCGAAAGAAGATATTGTGCATAATGCGTACGTGGATCCGAAGTTGCATGTTAATGCATTTGATCACCCTGCTGTCATTGTGAGTATGCCGAACCCGGCGAATGGGTTTTCGGTGGTGGAGATTGCAATTGTGAGTTTGAGTTTGAGTTTGCGTTGTGATTTTGGTGTTGGACAGCAGAATTCTTGTCCTTCTTCCTGAAAGGTTTACATACTAACACCCGCTCAGATGACCTCCCTCGGCTCCCGCACTCTCCACGAAACTAAAAAACTCGGCCACCGATCCTTTCTCTTCCGAGTGCGCACCACACAACTCCCAAGCGCAAAAGTAGACATCACGTTGAAAGATGGGAAAGGAATGAAGGGGAAATATAGCTTTGTCAACTGTCGCGAGTCGTGGCGGGTGCAAATCGGCACGTTGGGATTCTATACAAGGGGAAGGGAAGTAGGGGCGGGGAAGGAAGTAGATTGGTTAAGATTGACGACGGCGAGTTTGGAGAAATTGAGAGCGAGCATCGGAAGTGGGAAAGGGTTGTGGGGATAAATGTTTGGGAGTCATGAGTTGGCTAATACGATGGGGACCCTTTGCCGGAAGATTTGGGTGTTCGAATCTTTGGAAGGATTAGGTGCGCGTCAGATCACCTTCAAGACTCCACTACCATTGGGACTTGAAAGTAGAATCAATTGATAGCCAATAGAAGAGAAACGAATTGCTGGCATTTAGAGCACTTCATCCGTGCAACGAAACATCTTTCAACGAACATCTCCATTTTTGACGCATTTACCTTTACTCGGCCAAAAGATTTTACAGTGTAAGATATTACGCTTCCATAAGTCTCCTATAAATCCGCCAGTATCCCGTCTCTAATACTAGCCATCATTGCGATGTAAACTTTTTGGTTCTTACTACACAATATAATCTTACATATCTCTGCGTAGCTCAGCAAATCGAGTGCGCGCAAGTTCCTCACATGACACGAAGTTTCCCCAGCACAGAAACGACAAGGTCTTGTATACCCCATTATTTCTTGCGCGATGAAAACAACTCGGTCGTCTGGCAGAAGGGGTTGGGATGGATCATTGTGAGTCTACCCATATCTTGCTATCGAAGAGGCAGATTGGGCGGGGTGATGATTGATATTCTAATGTGTATCAGGCCTGGATGACGGGAATCATTTTGGGCGAAGTTAGGAACGGAATGGGAAATGGGAAAGGGGAGAGATGGTTTGAGAGATAGAAATGTAGATGGAGAAGAGACATGAGATAAGCAGATATGAAGCAAGCATTTCACAAGCAGGAGGGATGCTATTCCTCCCTTACTTTCCTCGTCGGAGAATGTGAGATGGGATTGGGATTTTAGAATGAGAATCGGATCGGTTTGGAAGGGGAATCTTTCAATCTCCATCGAATGATGAGATTATATATTTTATGATGATTTACATAGCTTACGACATGTTGTCTGTCGTCACTCAATCACAAAGTCACAGAGATCTACGTCAAAGCTCTACGAGTCACCTGGCTAATCATCGCTGCCATCTCTTGCTTCGGATTCCTCTGTGTATCTATGCAGAAACATATAGAGAGTTAAGAAAAGAGAAGGGAAGTGAATGTAGATTTGCGCAGAAGAATTCGACAGATCATCATGAACCAAAAGATGATCAGCGCGAGTTGAATCATGTAAGAACAACTTGATCGTGCGGCGAATTACTTTTATGCCCTCCCAAAGCCTCGTGCGCTCAAATCGGAAGATGTTTTCCTTTTATACTTGGGAGATTTGGTAACGAGAGAATGGATTCTAATTCAACATCACTGGAATCTATAAAAAGAAGATAGCTTCTGTCCTCAAACCTCTGATTTCCACAATAGACACGTCGATCCTCCATCAAAATACAACTTCGCTGTTGGATTCCTCGAATTTCTCTTCGAAATATAGGTATTGTAGATTATAATCTATAAGTTTGAGATAAATTCTATACAGAAATATAGAAATCCAAGGAACATAAAGAAAAAACAAACATGATTTCCAGAACCCTCGAGTAAACCATTACATTACATCAATCAGCATTCATTCTTCAAAGCAAGAAACTAGGCAATCTACCAACGTATCAATAATAGTATACATGCATCACTTGACACAACAAACAATATGCAATACTCCAGCTGCATCCAATAAGCGTGAATAAAGCACTAAACCGACACAGACTCGAAATTATTCATTATTCAAATCTGCATTCCGATAATACAAAACTTCCAATCCCCACTTCCCCCTCCCCACTTCCCCCTCCCCACTTCCCACTCCCACCCCTCACATCCAGACAACTTCAAAGTACCAAACTACCCAATCGATTCAGAGTCCAACTACCAGTCCCAAACGAGATGAGCCGAAAATGAACAGGATACCTAGGCGAGAGAATTTCTATAGATGCGCAAAACGCTGCATAATCCAACTTCGGATCTCTCGTCCGCCAGACTATCAACTGCGACAGAAGCCATGGCACAAACATCAGTAAGACTGACTATCAACCCCCCCTCTGGCCCCCCTATCCAACAGCCCAGCTCCAAATCACTCATCTGTAAGCCACTCCAAATATAAACATCCCCCCCCCCCCAAGACTATAACCAACTTTACCTCCTATCAAAATCACAGTCAAGTCTCACATCACACCAACCCAAACGACCAATATAAAGAAGGAATTGTATGATATTGAGTTATTTTCCCATTCGATCCATCCGTTGCCATTCCGTATCTACATAACCTCCCTAAAACCATACCATTTCCCTTTCTTCATATGCACAGCATCGATTCCCGAATATCATATCCATATCCAGCAAGTACCATACATCCACCATAAGTAGGATTGTAAAATAAAAAAGCAAACCCCCATTTGCTCAATGTCATAGAGAGCAAATAAAATATCATATTTCCCCCTCCGACCATATTTCGTAAAATCATTACAATCATTTCCCAACGTACCGTTCATTTCAATCCCGGCAATTAGAGCAAGTTATAATACAAGGAAATAATGTTGATTAAAACAAGAAGCTATATAGCCTCAACGAAGAGTATAATTGCCTTAATCAAGGCGTGGCTAGATGAGTGAAACCTCAAAATTTTGAATTGAAGAAACTCCACATTGCGCCATATGCAATAGCGCATAATTCATGGATATCGTGGGCATAGAAGCGCAAATATGCAAGACAATGAAATAAATGTATCCCAGACGGCGATGAAACAATGATCGATCGTCTATTGTACAGCAATACATGGACGATCTTAATTTCGACTGCCATTTTCCTTTTCTCTAATTTCAGCAAGCCTAGTATCAAGTCGAGTAAGTCTTGATTGTAGTGAAGGTCTTTCATCAAAATCAGAAGAATCCATCGAGTGACGTGGTTTATGCATGGTCACTATTCCAGAGTGTCGAACAGGTGTCTTTTGATGATGGGTGGTCCTTCTAGGAAAAGTATTGCTTGGTTTCTCCATAAAAGGCGATCTTAAACGTGGAGCTTCGAATGTGGCCGATGGAAGTAACCTTGGCTGGGATCTTGGCGACGGGCTAATATCGGGAACAAGACCCGTCTTTTCTGGTCCTATTGGAAGAGGTTGAAATAATCCTGGCATGCGAGTTCTGAAGATATCATCACCGATGGTAAATGCTCTAGTTCGTACTCGTCGTTGTTGGTTTCCTGAGAGAGGCATTCCATATATCTGCTCATTCATGCCATTTGGCTTCAAAATAGCACCACCTGAATTTAGATTTTCAAAATGATTTTGAACCCGCCTTTTGTGTTCTTGGTTGTTTGAGGGACGAGGAGGATCAAAGTGAAGAGGTGACCTAAGACGAGGTGCAGGTCCTGGACCTGATATCGTATCAGAATGAACGCGAAAAGTTGAAGGGCGAGGTTCATCAAATGCCCCATCCATAGTCGAATTGGGTCCATACGTCCGAGCCATGAATGGAGACCCGAGACTTCGAGTTCTCGAGTCATCCAAACTCAAATTTGTGGTGCGAGATCTAACCCAGCCCCTAGGTTGACACAAAGATCTGCGTGGTCTAGCAATGGAAAATTCTTGGGACGTCGCGAGTTGAGCTAAAGGTCCATTTGGTTGCATGGTTTCGGATGTACTTGTCGTTAGCGAGATTGAGATATCTTTAGTATTGAAAGACTTTGGAGCAGAGGCTTGCGGCTCAGGGGTTCTGTATCGTGAACGAGGATTATGTTGTGTGAAAGGTGTAGAGTTTCTAGATTGAAGGTGCATATGTCGTTGAACTGCGCTGGTATCTTTTGTCTTGCAAAGTTCGCGAAGATGTGCTCGAGTAGCTGAGCTTGTGTGGGGCCACTGTGTGTATGTTCGTTGTCGATCTTCCATGGGGGTTGCAAGCTGGCCGTGTTCAGAGGATACCGCACGTGATGTATGATTGGAAGCTTTGGCACTGTGAATTCCTTTGGGTCCCTTCCAACTCTTTTTTGCTTGTCGAGCAACACGATGGCATACACCTTCCGGAGGCACAGCGCAAGCTCCAATTCTAAAAGGTGTCACGACTGGATCTTGAAGATACAGGAGATAGACCGACCATAAATGAGCACTCATTGCGAAAGTCCACGGTGCATCTCTTCGAGTTTTGTGACGAAGGTTGGCGTTGAGAACGGTGTGGTTGGGTTTGGTGGCTTCATTGTGTAGCTTCTTGCCCTTGGCTTTTGAATATGATGGAAATGAGAATGGGTCGGCGCAATCAGACTCAGGACTAGTACAACTCCCATCTTCAGAGTACCTTGAGAGATGACCTTCACTGTTGAATGAATCTTCGGAGCGTAAAGATGCGGCAGATGTTGGTCGTTCAATATCAAGCTCACTTGGCGACGAGAGTCCCATTCTCCAATCGAGACGGGGAAGATTTGTTTCTTCCATGGCTAAAGAAGGTATTGGAGTTTTCGGAGGCGATGAGAATCTTGTATTGTATGTGTGCGGGGCCAAGAAAGATGTACTGATGGAAAGTGGGTCTCGGTCTGGCATATCGCAATCTGACGATACGTGGGGAGCTATTTGTGGCTCCTCGATTGTAGGGATAGGGATATCTGCAGCCGCAACAGAAGCGAGAAAATGTTCAGTTGGTGCTTGCAAGTTCGACACATTTCGTCGCCTGACCTTTAAACGATTTGGACGGGGTGGAGAAGGTGGACCCTCCGATCCAACAAGGTTGAAGGGTTCGGGTGTCGTTGGCTGATCTCCTTCAAGATGATGAAAGCGGAACCCCCGAGGAAGGGTATTTGCCCCATTTTCATGGTGTTGTGACATCGTGTTGATGGATTTGGTTGAAACGTTTTCGGATTTGACTGGAAATTGTAGAATTGGAGAATGGAAATTGTGGGAATTCGATCTTGTACAGAACGCCCAAAGCAAATCTCACTCTTTGCAATGCGATTTTTTCGAATTACAGAGGATATGAAGTGCGATGAGAAGGCTGGAAAAATCGAGTAGATCGCGAAGGAGAGTGATTTGCGAAAGAAACCAGAAAAGAACGTTTTGGTGGGTGATCCAAA